AAAGTTTTTATAGCTCCAAGGCAAGGTAATTCATGAAATGTCTAATTTAAAGATGAATTCTAATATTATTAATAAATATTTACCAGTTTAATAAAGTGCACATTTTTCACATTAAATATGATACACAGTTTTCATTTTCTATTTTTGAAATATAGATCAATAGCTGGAAAATCTGAGTACTGAGAAGCATTGTGTGAGTTCAGAGGAAAACTGCACAAGGACTCTGTCAGTGTTTTTATATTTCCTGATGTTACCCAGCATTTACGAGCAGAGGAGAAAAAAGATTACTGACTACAACGCGGTGGTGGGAGTCACTCCATCTCACAGTATCACACAAATCAAGCACTTGTCGGGAAGTGCCTGACACACGACCCTCCCCACATTGCTCCTCTGTATCAAATCCCGCAATTCTTCATCAGCTCTCTGTGACAAAACTCCACACACATCCCAGAACACAGATTTGAAATAGCAGTCACCCTAGTAAATATCACCAGATTATGGTACATGAAGGCAGGAGCTCCCCTAGGTCTTCTCTTCGACCAGTGAGGGAACAAATCCGTACCACTGGAGGCAATGTAAACCTTTACTCAGTGTAAGTATGCAAGAAAAAAGACCACTCCAAGTCAGGTTGCAAACCACTTGATTTCACTGAAGGGACACATAACACAAGACCGATGTAACTTATGACATTTATTACGTATTCCTGAAGAAATTTCTTTGGATCCAGTCTACACACACTCCATTGCTTCAGTTTACAGGTGTAACATTCTTGACTCTAAGCTTTTATTATTTTGTGCTGTCTTTGGCACTCAACAAATCACCCAGCAGGTCCAGGATACACAAAAGCCCATGCACAAAGAGATCTGAAAAGTACCATATCTTTCATGACCTGTTTCAGGCAGTCCCTGCTTTGTGTCTGCAGACTTACTGTACTAAACTCTATATTTCCTAAATAGTGAGCAGCTTGAGCTTCTTTCTGTATTAGTGCTAGCTACTCTTCATCATCTCAAAGGAAACATTAAAATTAGCAATGAAGTTGGAAGCCTGAAGAATTCCAGATAAATTTGCTGTGCGATAATTTGTAACTAATTAATTGTCACTCACCAGAATAATAGAAAGAAAAAAAGATTTACATGAAATTATAACATGACAACACAATGACCCTTATTATAGTCCAGCAGCAAATCTGTATTTTCACTTCACCAGGTTTAGTAAAAGGTCTATGAAACAGCTAATCAGAATAACTATGGTTGATGTAAAATATCTGTTCAAGCTAATCATTCACCCTGGCTTTAATATCCAATACAGAATCTCATTCTAACTGTAGCCACTGAGTTTAAAATGCTAAATATGATAAACTGACTCATAGCTATGTCTCATCTCAGGGAGTAAGAGTGTCACTGCTCAAAGCTTAAGGAACCCAGGCAGAGAGACCCTCAAAAGCCAACAGGGGAATGCACCAATGGAACCTCCTTCCATGATCACAGCCATAGAGTATGGATAGATTCTGAAGAAGTCTTGATACATCTTCACTTTTTATTGTTCTAATGACCAGAACTGAACACCGGAATTGGCCGAGCAGATCCATCTCTCATCGCTACCCTTGGCAAGATCATTCCACCCCTTTCTAGAGGGCTTCAGAATAGTCCAGAAACATAGAAATCAGCTCAGCTTGCCCACAGTCTCCAATCAGAACAGGAGCACTGGGCAGAAGAAAGTCTTTTCATAGCTCTGTATTTCTGAGTGTGATTCAGGCAATGCATCCCTACAGGAGTTGTAAAAAAATAGATTTCCATTTATAACTATTTAGCCCATGGAGTATACAGAAAATAGGGAAGTATACACAGATATTATTGGTGGCATACTGTGTCTGGCTCCCTTTCTAAGCTACACTCTCAACAGTGTGCTTTCAGAATATCCTGCAGGCTGTCAAGTGCAGGTCCTTCACCCAAAATGTAGAGAAGCAATTCCTACTCATGCTGTAGTACATTCTGGCCAAAGCAATGCTCTTTCAACACATTATGCCAATTATCAACTGTATAACAAATTCTTGAAAACTAACAGCAGAGAGGTACATGATGCCAATGGATATGGGCTTCCAAGTCTGTTCCCAAAATTAAAATTCTATGTTTATAAAGCCTGAGTGCTTTTTTACAAGAGATCTGTTTACACATGGTATAGCATTGTGCTGTACATTAACAACCATGTTTATCTTCCTGAATCCACCAATAGTAAAACTTTAAACATTTGCCAACTGCCTCAGGGAACTGAATAATAGCATATCATTGTTCTCTGTGCTACACTGACAACATGTGTCATCATTCATACAGAATACGCCTGCACATAATGCAGAACATTGGCAAACGCTTGGTTGGACCACAATACCAAGAAATCACACATATCTTCAGAGAGGTCAATTAAAACTGATACACAACACAAAGCTATATTATTATGCTTTGACAGACAAGATTTTGCAACTGAAATGCAGAACTGAACCTACCATGTGCAATCCATTGCTGTGGATGACGCCATCTTGCTCCATGAGATTTCGGGATATAGTAATGGAGGGGAGATCCAAGCTCTGAGGGGGAAACTGGGGTGTAAAGTCATTTCCTTGTGCTGTCAGCTGGTCGCCAAGGCCCTGAAAGGGCAGCAGGATGTCTGCCATCCCCAGTGCAGGGTCTGACTCAGGTGGGGGTGTAATAGGTGGGATTTCGAACTCCTCATCCCCCAGGCTCGGCGTGTGGAACGTCTGCTAGAAAAAGACAGAACAAGGCAAACCACATTAGAGCACACTGTTATCAGCAGCCACACTTGACCAGTCATTCAAGTCTTGTTTTATACTCAAATGCAAACTCTATACATAATTATAAAATTAAAAAAAAAAAAAAGTTTCATATACTAACAGGGTTTGTGGATCATTCTGATTAAGGATTTAAGTCTAATTATCATATGGCTTTAATAGAGTATCAGTATTAACAGTTTTTTAATGCGTGCTTAATTAGCAACATCTGTCTTTGTTGTTAGTCTGAGTATCAGCTACACTGGATTTGGCTGTATAACAAATTGCCACTTTATTGATATGTTAGTGAAATAGCACAAACAGCTTATATTGCTCTCATGCTTCATAAAATATCAACAATTTTGTAGCACACACACAACATTAATTCAGAACCGACCATGCCACATCTTTTGTCTCCTTTTTGCCTTCTTCATAAACATGAAATACAACAATTCTGGTCCTTATTTCTTCTCCATCCCATAAGTGCAATGCATCCTTCTACACACCAGTTTTGTAATTTGGAAGAGAGCAATGTACAAAACAGCGCGGGTGATTACCACAGCTTTGTAAAGCCAGCCAGCTTTGTTTAAACAGTAGGTTTGTTGCAAACCAAACACCTGTTAAGATGCCTTTAGCAAAACATTTACTGCCAGTTATCTACAGTGTCTGTGCATGTTCGTACATGTGCATGTGTATGTCGTAGACGATCTTTATTCAAGCAGAGCCTGTATCTGGCTTCAACACTGCTGACTTTTATTTGGCAAACAAATGAGCTATGCTTATTCAAATTTCTTGCAAGTTAAATGAACTTTCATATATTATTTCAGGTCCACTGCTACTTAATAATAGAAATCCAGTGCTTGAAATTAGGCCATTTTAAATGGACCCAAATCAGGACTGTCTTGATCAAACTGGGCAGTTGGCAATCCTAAAATAGGCACTCTGTCTTGTTCTGGACATGCAACGCTGCTCTGGGACTTGTTTGTTTGTATTAGTTCAGGATTCTAGATGAGAGGGGGGAAATTGTTTTATGTATTATTTACATTGTTTGAAAGAGTGACTTAATGCCAGTTAATTTTAAAATGATATGTTCAGTGAAAGATCTCATTAACTGCCGCAAATTGTCATCCTTCAAACTGTTAATGATGATATAAATTAATAACCGCTTCAGAGAAGATGGAAACCGAAACACAGGAAAAACCTTTGCTTGCATATAGAACCTGTCAGCTGTCATTATTGGTCTCGCACCAGAAATGATGAGGTCCCAGACTGCTGCGGTCTGCAGTACCGTCAGCCTGCTGAGATGTGAGAACAATCCTGTAACTTAATTCTGGACGTGAAGGCTGGGCCTGGATGTTTGACTCTGCTGTATCACAAAAGGTGTGATTTTTTTCTCCCTGTGGATCCCTTAGTCCACAAACACAAAGGATGGATTGGCCACGAGAAGTGGTTGGCTAATGAACATAACCCTATGGCTGCATTTGCAGTTATTTTGGCACTAATGTGGTCTAGTAACAGATGCAACTGTAATTTGTGACTCATTTGCTACCCCATTACTGCTTAATGAAATCTAACATATCACATTAACAATACGGATAAACACTCATTCTTGATATGTGGCATTTGGCTGTTTTCATTACCACTGTAATTAACACTTGAAATATTATTTCAATAAATATTTAAGGTGTTTTAAAATGGGTCGTGGTAATCATGACATAGAGACAGAAAACATAAAGCAAATGTGAAGCTTCTTAGCCTGAATGTGCTCTAGGATTACACTCTTAAGGCATTATTTACAGGAATAAAATGGGCTTCCAGCTTTGCAGTGCTCATGCCCAAAATGCTAGTGAGAAATCTACAGTCGTACTAATGTAAAAACACTATAATTAAACCCATTGTAATACAGTAATTGCAAACTTAGGCTTGTGCTTTAATGCAAGTGCTAACACTTAATGATATTTTCATTCCTTGTTCAAGCAAAAGGGTTCGGTGAAATCAGTATCATAGTGCATTTGAACCTCCCTTTACCCATTGTATTTATGAGATAGTAGTAATTAAAAGAATTGGATCTTCTTTCCTCATCTAGTAGAATAAATCTAGGACATCTGTGTAAATATGTAACACAGCCAGGCAATAATACTCTATTTTACTTAGAGAAACAACATTGATCTTAATAGTCACAGCTTAGTATAAAAGGGAAAGTGAATTGATGAATGCCATAACAATTTTTAATCGTAAATTTAATTCTCACAGTGTAACTTTTCCAAGTATGCGTGTACCCTTCTAAAAAACATATCAAGGACTTAAGAATGAAGATGAAATAGATGTACTCTAAGAAGAAAGAAAGCCCCTAAGTGAAGAAGTCTTAAATTCAAATCACTGGGCCACTCAGACAGCAGAAGGGCTCTGCATAGCATGCAATCCAGGATTTCGGAAAGGTGCTGTTATGCCTAAAAGAAGGTCTAACATTTGTGAGATTCATCTTACCATTTTTTTTTTAACTTATTAACTTTTCAAATATTTATAAAAACACACAGACACAAAAACTGTGTGCATGCTTAAATGCCATCTGTACTGAAATGTTCAAAACATTTGTTCCTTTTGATAAAAATGCAAATCTGGAGAACTGTTGTATCAACATTTAACAGCCAATGTCTGACACGGTGAATTATCACAGCTGGAATTAAATTGTCTCTGAACAGCTGCTGGCAGCAGAGCTTTCATCAATGTTTGATTCAAATGTAGGAAAGAAATTCTACAGAAAGAAACATCATGTTGTCATTACAGATGGGGTTTGTGTTCATTATCACAAATAACACTGGAGCTAGTGCCAAACAATATTCCCTTATCTAAGCAGTCTTGCTGGGTAAAAAGAGATGGTGGCCATTGTATAAGTGATTCATAAAATAAGACTCTTAATTCCAATCTTCATATTTATTGTTACACTCTTCTACTTATTTTCTCCGAGATCTTTTTTTTTTTTTAAATATTCTGAGAATACTTGCAACTGAATTACCACTTACAACATGTGAAGTCATTGCTGCCCAGGTTTTAACCTCTTCTTATGTCTGGAAGATCATTTATGGGATGCACGCTATATAAAAACAGTGTTCTTTACATTGACACACAGATTACAAGGCAATGCCTCCTGCACTTTCCATCCTTTCACTCTTTGGAATAAAAGATGTTGATTCTTAGCAATGAGCAAAAAGTGTTTCTGTATGGAGCTGGGGTCAATATTAGCATGTTGATGGACTATCAGCTGACTGCAAGGGGCCCCCCTGTAACAACAAATGCACGCAGGCCATAGCTGCCATGCCTTCCTCCCATCTCCCACCCAAAACTACTGAGCACACCTCTCAGCTCCCAGCCCAGGCAGCTCCCCCTACCCAGCCCAGGTTTGTTCCCAGCCCTGTTCCCTCATGCAGCATGCAGCCTTCAGGAACAAAGTTAGATTTGTTCTTCTAACTTAGCTGACTATTAAGAACCCAAATTAAAATATTTGTATCTATAGCAAAAATTACACATTAGCTAGGATTGCCTGTTACTAAGCTTGTTTATTTGCTTCCTTCTGTTTATGATTTTTTTTTTGTACATAAAGCAGATTTGTTTCTATTGACATGCCATGTAAGTAACAGCCTTATGGACAGCTAAATTGACTAGTAATGGAGAGCTGTCAGGTTATTTTCTTTCTCATTAAAGTCTTTATTTTGTGCTCCATAAAACACACTGAAATTCAGCCCTTCATTCTTCACCCATTCACAGTCTGTTAAATTATCTAAGCACAGTAGAATATAAGCATAGATAAAACAAAGAAAAGAAAAACATCTACCTCATTTGCAGCAAGAAATGCATTATTTGCCTCTGCCATGTTCATGTAGTTGTTATTGTTTCCAAACTGAAAGAAAAATAAATATTTGGATTTTAATGCATGCCACCATTTTCATTTTCCATCATGAAAAATGTTTTAAAATACAAAAACACAAGACAAACAGATAAGATGTGATTTTGCACATGTCCTCTGAAGTCAGAATCAGATTCCATGTGACAGTGTTGTGATTATTACATTCTCTGCATCCCCAGACCTGTACACGAAAGATCTCCAAGTGCATTTCTTTGACCTTCTGTGTACCGAGGCCACCCCACAGACCTACAGATGCCTTTGGAAATCAAGTGCTCATTACTAATGGACTATTCCCCATAATAAATAAATAAATAAATAAATGCTTTTCCTGATGCACATAATTGTACTTTGCAGATGATTCTGATTGATTGATCATCAGAATCCTGATGATTCTAGCTACAGTGGACAGCTGTAGCTAGAAGTAGCTGCTGTATTAAAAGAGATGAAGGTAAGAAAGGGAAGAGCATCTGCAACGTTGCTTTTAAAATCCCATTCTATCTACAAACTAAATAGCCAAACAATCCCCCTTTGTCCATCACTCATTCCAGTTGAGCTCCCACTCCCAAACAACCTGGAAGGCCAGGAGACTTCACCCATCAGAGGAACTGCTTTATGCTGAGATCCCGAGACGTGCCCAAGGCAGAGGTGCTGAGTGCCTCACTCATGCAGTGCAGCTCCCATGGGGGTGAGCAGGAAGGACTCAACAGATGCCATCAAGCCATTTCAACCCAACATTGAAGTACGAACATTTGTGAGTAAACATAAGTACTTTTTCTTCTATAGACTGAGCACAGAAAGGAAAAGACTATCAGCATTTGGCTAATTGGCACTGAGCATGCTTATTCTCATAAAAGGCATTTCCAAAAGGCAGGCAGGTATTTGATTTGAGGAACAGACAGCACACGTTCAAGTTTCTAGTCTTGGGCACAGCACACATTGCAGAGATCCCAGTGAAAGCGAAGCATCACCACCACGATGCCCAGCCTTGCAGTGCTGCTCCGGGTCTGCACACAGCACCTCCTTATTCTCATGTTCGTGACTTCTGCAAAGCAACTTTTTCCACCGGCTTTCGTTTTATCTTGCCAGACTCCCAGCAGCATTCAGGAACAGAGGGGGACCATAGAGCAACTCTTCCAAGAGTGTTTATTTCCCATAAAAATCCAAATTCATTTCTCAAGTGCTGAATCTTTCAACTTGTATCACATTAAGAAACAGAAATGTTTACATATTATGTAAGCTGCTTCACAGCTATTTAAACTCTGCTTTCCTTAGCTACACAGGAACTCAAATAATGTCATCCACTTTTAAATCTCAGACATCACTGGGGAGGGAATTTTAAAAAATAACATGAAATTAAATTGCACCTTTAAGTTACTGTTTTGGCTCAGAAAGATGCGTGCATGGATACCAAGACATAATTCTACAGCTCAACACCAGGATCAACAAGATAGGCAGGTTTTTTTCATGTCAGTTAGAGACAAACTAAGAAGGTTTTGCATGAAAAAATAACCTCAAATGGTCCCAATAGAGCTGTTGTTTTGACAACAAAATAATAGTAATAATAATAATAATAATAATAATAATAATAACAGTTTTTCAAACTGTACCTAAATGCACAGGTAAAACAAACTTATATAGCTGCAACACTGGATAAATAAATGGGAACAAACCCAATCCTATTTCCATTAGCTTAGAGTCCTAGGGCCTCCAGTGCCACAGATGAGAATGCAGCTGAATTTTACCTTGAATAATACAACTCTACATTATTTTGATCAACATGCATTCCTCACATCACAATTACTGCCAGTTTGAATGCCAAGCATGATTTATAAGAATAATGCATAGGAGAAAGTGAATGCACACTATTCTATTTTATTAGGACTGAGAGAGTAAATGATATAATGAGGACTGCCAAAGCTAGAAGTTGCAGCTACGTGGCCCTGTGGCTCTTATAAGGATACAATATTTAGGACTCTGTGGTACGTGGCTCAAGCACTGATGTCAGAACCTGACACATTTAAGCTTTTGTTAATATGGATAAAAAAACACTGCAATTTATTTTTTTCTCTCTGAATTAGAAATCCATTTAAGGCACACAACAATTATCAGTGAGTATTTCTAAGATTAACATTCCTTATTATCTAATGGTACCTATAACAACAAAAGAAAATAAAATGGTTATTATCTTAAGGACCTAAACAATTCAAAAAACAAATTAAGCTTAGAGTGAAATAAGAACTGGGTTAGAAATCCTCTTCTGAACAGTTAGTCTGCGAATGTAATTACTGAAGAAACTACAGCTAATCAGCTGTGAATTGTATCCATTAATTAGTATTTGCCCTGGAGAAATGAGAAAAATCAGTAACAATGTTAACACTGCAATGCACTGATGAGTACTGAAACACAGGGCCCTCAGCATTTAGTCAAGCAGGTGGCTCCAATGGTCCAAGTAATTTAAAAAGCTCTCACCTGAAGTGCAGAGCTGGAATTACAAAGCACTTCTTGCATATCTTTGTATCTATATAAGGCTATAATTAATGGCTTTTAATTTAGAAACGCTTTGTGATCAGTGGGGAACAGTTATAAATCATTCTAAATAGAACAAGGGGTTCTTGTCTATTTTAGTAAAATAATTTGGGAAAGATGTTTTCTGTAAAATGACTCTTGTTACAATCAATGCTTTTCTCCTTTAGTTTCTGGCCGATCACTTGCCCAGACCCCTCATAAACATGACAGAGCATCCCTCCACTTGACAGCGGGCATTCAAATTAAAGGGTCAGATCTGGCAATTGTGTCTGCCCAGGTACAGCCCTGTGGGGTCCCACCTCCACCTCCTGTGTTTCCCTGGGTCAGAGCAAGACTCAGATGCAGCACCTAGTTCAGCTATCTTTTTGTTTCATGCTGGCTTTGTGACGCTTTGCAAATGAGTTAGCCATAGCTATGAGCAAGGTTTTGCATAAACTTTTAGCATCTAAATATCTCAGAGCACTCAGTTCTGTAACCACAAAGGAATAGGAACTTTCCAGCTTCCTTTGTCAACACCAGTGTGTTGTGTTTTTTTTTACAAAAATAGTTGTTGCCTTTCAAGCAATATCTGCAATGTCAATCAAAGCAAACACTACAACACTACTTGTTTCCTTTGATTCTAGGAACTGAACAAACCCCATCTTAAGGTTCAAGAAACATTAAGCTTGAGTCTCATATCTTATTGTCACGGCAAATCAATGGAAACCATCCATACACATATGTTGATTTTACAGAACGGACTGCAAACAAACAAAACCTCTTCTGAACTTAATGTGAAACACAGCTTACATTCTTCATGCAAATTATTGCACGTAAAGTATGACAGTTCAGTTCTCTACTCTTCTGCTACAAGGGCCCTTGAAGTGGCCCTGCTGCACTCCACAGGCACTGAGAAGAATACTGTCGGAGGGCTGGGCGTTTGCTTACTAACACCTTGTATAAAGAATGTCAAGAAAACTGATTGTTTCTAAAATAGTTCGTTGATGCTCTTCTCTTAGCCATGACTACTCAACCTAAAGCCCAACATGTAGGCTTAATGCTCTTTTGTAGAAAGGGTCTGTATATGTAATGACATACACTTATGACATACGTGTGACATACCCTCTATCTTTCCCCAGTGCATGCCCTAAGGAAGACCAAATCAGCTCCTGCCTAGACTTTCAAAACCGTATCATTGCACTTCTGCAAACTACATATTTTCAAAGACCAAAAGTAGGCCAGACATTACAGTAACTGTGCATCAAAACGTGACTGGGCTTCCAAACCACCCTTTGTAGCTACCAGAGATTAAAAATTGTTGGGTTCTGAAAGCACCAAAACAAACAAATTCACATAAATCAAGGAACTGATGTTCTAAGAAGTGTGACATGGTTGGCTTCATTAAATAAATCTTGACAGCTGGGGATACAAATCAGTCACTAAATAGCCAGGGAGTTTGAATTCCTAAAACAACAGCAACAAAAAAACCACTAAAACTTCAGAAAAATCCCAAAAGATTAAATATGAACCACTCCTTGAGTTCTTTTGCAGCTCTGATGAGTCAAAAGCCACAGCAAGAAATAAGCAGAATGAAAGTTTACACCATGAAAACATAATACACATAAGTATAAAGACTGAAAGTTATTAGTTATGAAGTTGTTCTGGACACAGTATAATTTTGAACATATAAATTTTATGGGAACTTTGCTACTGATTTTAATTGAAGTTTTTTTGTTAGAACTGTGGACATTTCTATCTTTAAGTCAACCTAATTGTGATGCAACTCTAATCTGAAAAGCATTGCAGCTCATATCCACTATTCATTGGCAAAACAAGGGTAATTGGAGACATATTTAAGGAACATAAAATTAGGCATACAGCTACCCAGATTTTTCTCTGAGCATCTCAATGGAACAAACAAGAATTTTTATAAATTATAAATATAAATTATAAATATTTTATGCTAAAGAGTAAAATAAGATTCATCAGGCAAACCACATTAGGTTTTTTAAATAAGTCCTTTAATAATAATGCTGGTTAATTTAGCAATGCAAGAAAAAAAGAGAGGATAGGATTGGGTAAGTTACTGTTCCAGCACAGAATAAAAGTGAAACTATGGAATGTGAATAAATGTTCCAAATGAAAAATATCAAACAAAACAAGTATTGAAAAACTGCACACGTTTTGTCATCTTCTCAGAATATACCAAGAAACTGACATTTGGCTTAAACAGAATGATTGCAATTCTGTACACAAAGATTATATATCATTAATCTGAGAATAAATAAAAGATTCATTGGAAATGACTACAGAATTCTCCTCTCCCTCCTCATCACTCTAAGAGTCCTTTCACAATTACTGGTTAATTTTCATCAAAGCATACATTTTAAGTTTCTCAGCTCAGATACTCCATAGTATCTTCAGACAAGAATTCTGACTGGCTTGATGCTGAACTTCTGCCTGCAAAGTAGTGCTAAGTTAGTTCTGTC